AAAAATTAAACTTTTTAATATTTCTTGATTTTATTCTATTTGTTAATAATAAATATATTTTAGGTAATTGTTATTTAAACCTTTTTCACTTATGTGCAGTTTTTAAAATGTTAATTACTTCATTTTTTTAAACTGCTTAAAAATATCTTTATTTAACATTACAAAACAAAAAAGCTTTGTCTGTCTATCTGTCTTTCTGTCTGTCTGTCTGTCTGTCTGTATGTCTGTATGTCTGTATGTCTGTCTGTATGTATGTATGTATGTATGTATGTATGTATGTATGTATGTATGTATGTATGTATGTATGTATGTATGTATGTATGTATGTATGTATGTATGTATGTATGTATGTATGTATGTATGTATGTATGTATGTATGTATGTATGTATGTATGTTTTATTTTCTGGCAGCACAACATACAAATATTCATCATCCTTTCAATGCTTATCTTAGTCGGCTTCAACTCTTACAGGTCTTAGGCCATTTATGTATCAACTCATTTTGTTTACTTCTGCCATTTGCTTAGAGATAATTTTGGTAATTTTTTCAATTTTGTTTTTAGTATTGAAAACAATATTGTAATTATATAAGTAATTTACTTATGCTTTATTGACAACTTTGAAGTATTTGTTATTTCTTTAGATATTTTCTATATAAAAAAATCAAAATAACTCTATGTTCTGTTTGTTGATGCTATTTAGGTGAACCTAGAGGAAAGTTTAAACTTTCATTTATTTAAAAAACAGATGTGCTTCCAATTGCCCTATTATTTTCCATTATAACTTTATTTAGACTTATTTGATAAAGATTCATTTAAAATTAAAGTTTGGTGATTTAAAAATTAAAGACATTTTTAAATCACCAAAATTTAGTTTAATCTTTAAAATCCGTATTACATATACGTATTACTGTATAGATTCACAGTCAATGTGGATGCTACTGTTGTCCCTCTTATTGAGTTATATCTATGCCAAGTCGCTTTTATGTTCCTTTTTACTTCAATTTTCTTTTTTGACCATTGCCCAGTGGGCCAAGATCAACATAAAATGGACAGAAAATCATAACTCCTTTATTTTTAAAGTTGTCAAATTGAAATTTTTATCAGTGACTCTAGTCAACATGAAGATCCATGCATGTAATGTGCTCAATCCAAGCTCAGTCGAAATTGTACTATTGATTTTTTAAAAAGCAACATTTAGATTGTTCATATTTGAAGGGGTCAGTCCACAAATACTACATACTTGAATGAAATTAATTAAAGGCGAAACAATAGTAGCCACTTTTCCATCAACCATTGTGCATTCTAACTTATGTTTGATAACAAAGGAATTAAAGATCGTTGGTTTCAAGTTACTGTTCTTAAAGGAAGTATATTCTTGTGTAATAACCTCAGCACTTTATTTTACATATTGAAATTGTACATGATGGCAGTAAAGTGTAGAGGATGGTTTTTCATTAGTCTATAGTGATTCGCCAGATTCTTCAATAAAAAGTTTAATTGGAACGATTCAGGATAAAAATAAAGATTGTTCCTTGACATAACTGATACTTATCTCATCTTTTGTACTTTGTTTGTATAATCATTGACCGGTTGAACCATCAAATCCTACTTTGTGTATAGAGACAAGAATGGATTTCTCAGGAGCCTTTACAGATTCATTGAGCATTTTTAATAACCTGTATGTAGTATGGTTAATAAGGCTTTGTAAATCAACTGCAGTTTGATAATCAGTAGTTTGTATTCCACGACAAGGTATGCATAAATCTTTTTCTTCCCTTACTTCATTATAAGTTGGATACAATTTGTTTCCTTTAGAAACTGCTCCAATGCAAATTGTTTGGTAATTGGCTTTACTAAGTCAACAGTCTAAAATCAACACTATTGCTTCCTCTCCAGTATACATTGTTGTTAAATTAACTGCACTATCTTTCTCTGATTTTAATATTTGCTTCACAACCTAAAGTGTAAAAATGTAAATTTGCAGAGTGAGGTGAATACAATTCACAAGAAAAATTATCACCCTTTTTTTTTAATAAATAAGTTAAATTAAAAATGACTATAGTATTGAGGTTAATGTACTTTGGCATCGCTGAACCTTATTTCCTTATTAGTTTCAAAATAAATGAGTAAAATAATTCCTCTCTTTTGACAGCAATATTTGTTTTTTCTGCTCTCCATATTTTTTGTTTTTTAAGAAGCTTGGGTGAATGACATTTGCACCTGGTGGTCTTCCGTAGACAACTAATTTATATTAAAATATCAGATGATTGTATTTACTATAAACATTTGCTAAAAAACAATTAAACAGTGAAAAATATCATAAGTACATTACTTTAATTTTTATAAAATATCATACCTAAGTTGTGAGAAAAAGTAGAAAAAGCCAAGCCCGACTTTTGGCCCTTGTCTAGTTTATCTGTTTCAGAATATGCATCGCTTGTTTGTAATACTTTTTCAACCAGATTTTGTAATGCAACTCAAATCTATCCTTGTGTCTGTTTACTTTATTCCATTTATTGTTAAACTGTTTAGAAAATAATTTGAAGTCAGAGATCCTTGTAACTTTAGCATCAGGGTCGGTAACTGATTTGTTTTAAGTTTCCAAAGCATAAAACAATTTTTGAGTAATTTATTTATTTTTTATAGTGATTGGTAGAAAAAAAAGTTAAAAATATAATTTTAGTTTTTTAAAGTTTTTAAACAGGATTCGTATTTTACATAGTTAAAAGCATTATTGATCAATAGCTGAAATAAGTTTAAGTTCATAAATAAAAAACCCGCATTAATTAATAAAGTGGAGTTGCATTATATTTTAATGTTTTTCGTAGTTTCCATAATTGCAATTAATTATTTAAAGTTCAGACTTAACAAAAATGTGCTTTGAACAATTAAAACCTGCTAAACTTTAATTGGCGCAACTTTGCGCAAGTTATTTTTAATGAGAAACCTTCTACAATATTAAGACACTGTAAAAAAGTTAATCCCATAGTGGGGAAACAAGGGCGAAAAAGATCTTGAACCATTTATGGTAACTTTTTATTATGTTTTGTAATACTTTTAATGGTCTTTGATTTTAAAATTTAAAGTTTAAAAAAAAGTCCTAAAACAAAAGATTATTTTTATTTGCTAAATTTTCTAAAATAAAGTATGTACCCTGATATATTGAGATTACAAAATTTTAACTATATTAAAAAAAACTGTACACCTAAGAAGTGTTTTGAATTTTTTGAATTTTTTAAATAAATGCTGCAGCATGTACATCTCAATTCAATTAGCATATCCTGAAGAACACTTGTGTATAGTAAATTAAGTTACTAATTGCATAGGGAAAATGTAGGTACAAATATTGTTGCTGCAAAACAAGACTCTAAATAATAAATCCATTTTTGGTGTTCTGAGAAAAAGGCATTTAAATTTATTTATTATATCTGTTAAGTATTTTAAACCAAAAATGTTTTTCTTGGCAAAAAATGAACTTAATATAGTTTTGTTTTGTAGCAACGATGTCTCTTAATTATTTTTTCATGTTGTAAAATATTTGAATTTTACTCATAGTTGCAAAAGTTGAATCAATTTTGGTTCCATATTTTGTGAGATAACTTTTGTGCACCTAAGAAGTATTTTAAACCAAAAAGGTCAATTTTGCCAAAAATAGACTTTTTTTGATAGTTTTAGTTATATAGGATAGTTTTGCTTTGCAGCAACGATATCTTTTTACTCTCATATTTTTTATATATATGTATTCATACTCTTGACTCCACATTCATACCCTTGATATCAGTAACATGGTGCTTTATTTACAACTTTTTAAAAATGGTTAGTTTGAATGACTATGTTTTTGTTTTTATAGATTCATAAATTTTTGAGTTGTTTTTTTTTTCACATAAAATCATAGATGCACTTATTTGCACAAAGATTTGTATGGTTGTAATGTATTGCATTAGAAGTGAAGACACACACAATTTCTGTCTGGCATGCTAAAAATAAATGTGAATAGTTTGCACAGTTATACCAATAAATAAACTAATGCATGGGTGCTGTATTTCTATATCTAATTCTTTTGTGTGACAAACCGCTTTTAGACTGTAAATTTGTGAACAACAAATGCTTTTAACAACCTTTTTATTTTTATTTTTTTAATGCTTTTTTGTTTTTTTATGTTTTTCATTCTGAAATATAAAATTTCATATATTGTTTAAAATTAATCATACTATATTGTTTTAAATCAATTTCACTATTTGAATATAACCTTTTTAATTATACTTTCTACTTAAATAAATACTCAGTAAACCCGTTGAACGTTTTTGATTTATTCCATAAAACGAATTATTCAACAACAAAGCATGAGCAATTTGAGAAAATGTTGCCTCCTTTATATTTCAATTTCTGTTAACTGTTAATAGGCTGCAAACGCTCCATTAATAAAACAAAAAGTTTTTAGTTGGCTAACCAGCTCAATTTTATTATTGTGCAACTGATTGTTGAAAATTTCCAACATTCTAAAATTAATTTTAAATTCGTTTTTGTTCTTTATTCATTTCCATTTTGTCAAGTTAAGCTAAATCTTTGCAAAAAAAAAAAAAGCAGTAACAAAAAAACAAACTAATGAAACTTATTCTTGATTTTGCATAAATGTTGAACTCTCTAATAGCAATTGTCAAAATTAAAAATATTTAACATGCAAAAAAAAAAATTCGATATATTAACAATTATGTTTATTTATGTAATTGTAAATATCATAATTAAATAGTAAATTGTAAATAGTTATTATAATAACTATTATAAATAATAATTTAATATTAACAATTATATGTTGTGCTATTTAAGCATTAATTAAAAATAAATGTGAGTTTTTTGCATGAGCATATGTTTTAGTTGAATATGCTGTGAATATTTATTGTTATGATTTTTTTTTTTATCTTTTACAGATTTTGTAACCTTTAGCATTATTAAAAGTTTATTTATATTTTTTGCTTACTTTTTTTTGTTTTTGTTTAGGGACATGTTCATGTAAACCAGGTGTAATTGGTTTAAAGTGTGATATGGTTGATTCTGGTTATTTTTTTCCAAATTTCACCTACTTGAAGTTTGAGCCAGAGTTTTTGTCACCTAATGGTACATTCTCAACATATTATTTAGCTCGCAACTATGCAAAATACCACACAGGTAGTTTTTTTTTTTTTTTTTTTTTTGAGGAAAATTTTGAGTTTTTTTTTATTTTAATAAATATGTAACTATATGTTACATATTTATTAAAATAAAAAAACTTAAATATAAACTACCTCTGTTACTTGTTATCAATGATACAATAGTATTACATTAATAATTGTAATTTTACTAAAATGACTTAGTAATACTCATCTTTTATTTAACAAACTTTAAAATTAATTATAGAAGTTGATATTCTTTATTCTATTTTTCTTAATTTTATTAACTTATTTCTGTAGGATTTGGTTTCATAAAGCTTGATTATGGTCAATGGATATCATTTCAATTTCAAGTTCCTACCAATGCTTATTATTTTATTATGTTGCGTTACAGTTTGTTTAATCTTGATTGGTATTCTTCTATCCTCCCCAGTGGTAGGGAAAATGTGGACTGGGACGGAAAAAATGATATGCAATTTTATTTAACTTCAGGTGATCAACCAGAAAAATGGGAATTAGTTGGAAAAATTATTGGCGAAAATAATATTGAAGTTCAAAATGCTGTTTTTAGTATTGCAGATTTAAATATGGGGAATGATAATAGTGTGGCTTCAAAATCCTCTTTTTTACTAAAGCAAAATGTTATCTACACATTTTCACTCTATTATGACGAGGATTCAGGACTTTTTGGCAATCCCTGGCCTTTTTTAATAGACTCATTATCTGTGATGATTGATTATAATTTGACTTCTTATTTTAAAAGTTATTCTTTAATTAATATTCAAAATGAAATTAAAAATTGCTTTGAAGCTTCTAAAAATCTGGAAACTACATACAATTTACCCGGTTTTTGTAAGCTGCATACATTTACTATTGATTTAGAAGTTTATGGAAGAGCTTTAGGTATTTAGTTTTTTAATAAATTCAGCTAACTAGTATTTATAAAAACACCTTTTTATTATTATTAATATTATTATTGTTATTATAATTATCATTATTAGCTCCCTTATTAATAAAAGTTAATAAAAGAGCTATTAATTAATTCACACTTTCCTTTTTCGCAAAACAATAATGCTTTTGTTAACCAATAAATAATGGTTTATCTATAAAACATTGGTTTATCAATTTAACACTAACAAGATGAAATCTGAACAAGCGTATAAATTAAATAAAATAAAAAATAAATAAAAACATTTAAATTTTTTAGCTTTTTTTTAAAAATTGTAATTTAACAAAATTATAAGTTAAAAATTAATCAGAGACTATTATAAAATGTTAAATGCTGTTTACAAATTACATTCAAAATATAAGCAATAAATAAAAACTAATGATTTGTTATAAATAATAAATAAAAACAATTATATTGTTATAAATAATGAAAGTATAATATTAAAAATAATAAAAGTTTTCAGTTTTAATTTAGTTAAAAGACAAATGTAAGTATATTTGTTTTTATTATTTAATAATTGAAATTATGAAGAAATTGAAAAAAAAGTAAAAAGAAGTAATTTAAAAAAAAAAGTGATTTGAATTTTTTTAAACAATTTTATAAAACAAAATATTAACATATCACTCATTAACAATGTTTGAAAAAAAATTGCAAATAAAATCATAGAAGCTCCATTTCATAACAATTCATAATAAACTTGTAAAATTTATGTTATATGATATAATATAAATTTTTAATTATAAAATTGTTAAAAAAAATTCAAATCATTTTTTTGAAACAAAATTATTTTATTATTACTATTTTTTAATTTCTTTATAATTTTAATTAATAAATAATAAAAAAAAAATATTATTTTAAAAAATCAACATTTAAAAATTCTTTAGATTTTCATTTTTTACTTATATTTGTCATTTAATTAAATTAAAACTGAAAACTTTTATTATTTTTAATATTTTACTCTCATATTACATATATTTCATAATACATGTTATGTATATTTAAGTTTAAATAAGCAAAATAAAGCAACATTTAACCTTGTGCTTTGATTTTATGCAAATTTGTTGCATGTTTTTATGCCTAATGTGTTGCATGAAATCATTTTCTATTATGAAAAATTTTGTAACACCAAAAATATAGTTTTTTTTAATTATTTGTTACATTTTTTTTTTGTTTTGTTATAACATATATATATATTTTTTTTAATGTTTAAAGTAATTGGATATACTTAATGAGCTGGTTTTTTGCTAAAACCACACCTAAGTTTTGACAATATGAAATAAGGAAACAATTTTAGTAATTTAATGAACTGAAATACTAGCAAACTGAAAAGTTTAAAGTTGTTTTATTAAAAACTGATTTGCTATTTTACTTATCTAAAAATATTTAAAAAAAAAAGCAACAAAATATGTTAAATTATCATCAACAAGTTTTTATTAGCTAAGTATTAGTAACATGTGCATTGTTAAATAAATTTTAATATAAGGAAAAGCAAACTGTTATTGATGGACCAACAGTGTGATGTTAAAAAAATCAACTCTGCTAAAAAAAAATCAACTCTGGCATTGCAATAACAAACATAGAGTTTATGTGAGTTTTGTTATTTGTGTTGTTTATGTGATGACATTATGTGATAATATTTGACAAACTTTGTATGCTTAATTATGTATGGTGTACATTAGGGTCTCATTTATTTTGATTTACATTTTAACTGCAATTTCAGTGGAAACCAATCTTATGGATTCAAAAAGTTTATTGGTTATGGTACAAATCTAATGTTTTGGCCAACCACTAGACATGCAAGCTTCTAATTATAAAAATTAGTTAAACAAAATTAAATAGATTTAATTTTCTAACAAACATCTAATATGACATCTACTTGCAACTTAAATACAACTTACATGCATCTATGTGCAAACCTAATGCAACTATAATACTAAAGCGAAATATGATTTTTATTACTATGTTTATATATAGAGTGTAATTGTTATGCACCTGGTTCATATAATTGGAATCAATGTGCTGAATATGGGGGTCAATGTCAATGTAAAGAAGGGTTTGGTGATCGTAGTTGTGACCAATGTGTACCTGGTTATTTTGGTTCACCTGGTGTTGGTTGCAGTCGTATGTTTATTGTTTAAAAAAAATTTAATAGATTTTTTGATCAGTAGATTTAAATTTTTTTCAATATTTTTTTTCTATTTATTTGGCTAATAAGTAATTATATTTTTTAGCCTGCCATTGTTCTGATGTGGGAAGTTTATCAGATACTTGTCATCAAATAACCGGCCAATGTAGCTGTAAACAAAACGCTCATGGTTTGAAATGTGATGAATGTAAATTAGGCTTTTATCACTTGAATGAAATGAATCCAAAAGGTTGTCAAGAATGTTTTGGCTATGGACATTTAGTTTCATGTCAATCTGCTATGGGCTTTATTAGTACTTATATTGAGACCTCATTTGCAGGTATGCTTTTAAATTATATTTTTTAATAATATAATTGGTCATTATTTAAAGTCAAAATGAATTCTAGTGGTAATCATTAAAAGATTTCCTTTCACTTTTTTTTTTTTAAATATATATTAAAATATTATTGGATTTCTCAAAAGTTTTTTAGGTTTTTAAAAATTTAATAAGTTTTAAGGTTTATAAAATGTTATTTCTTTGGCACATATTAGTAATGCTAAATGCTAAATACTTTTTTTAAGAATCCTCTGATACGTATGACAACTGGACTCTTCTAAATGAAGATGGTTCTGATATAAGCAGTTATATATTGCAAGAAAAGGATGGAATCGAATATACAAATGATAAGAATTACTTGAGATATTTTAATGCTCCTATGCTGTTTCTTGGAAATCAATTGTATTCTTTTGGGCAGCTTCTTCTTGTAGAAGTAAGAAAATATATACATATTTATACATAATTTTGCTGCTTTTTTATTTAGTTGTATTTTATTGAGAAAAGTTATTTAAAAACCAACAGAAATTGAAGTGAACTAAATTTTAATTAGTTAAAAACTTTATAAAAAATATTTAAAAAAGTTATTTAGTTGATTTGGTAAACTAAATAATTATTTTAAAATATTTTTTTAAATTGTATTGCACTTTTGATATACATTTGGCTCTATGTACAACACCTGGTCTCCTAACAGTTACCATTTACTGAAACTTATTAACAATTGTCTTAGCTATGCTTTTAAGTTAACTTGTCATAAAAAAATTAAACTATCTGAGGTATCATCTGAGATCCTAAATTAAGTTAACTCTAAAAATTAAACTTTTTTTTAGTTTAAAATGTCTATAATTGTCTTATGTAAGATGTACTGAGGCAGTAAATACATGCTCTAAATACTTTGACCCTGGCTCCTGTTTTAAAACTATAAGTTCTTCTTCTGCAGTTTTTTGCATTTTTTCTATCAATGCAGGATATTGGTCTTGAGCTTTATATTTTAGAAGGGCTTATCTTGGGGGGGGGGTGGAATAAATAGAGGGGAGTGGGAATTTTAGTTTAGATCTTTTAGTAAAAAAAAAAAAATTATTCTTTAAATGATTAACTAGTAAATTTTTATTTATGCTTTTACAAATTAAATTCTTTAATTATTTGATTTAAAATGTTAAACTTTGAGTAAAATGTTAAACTTTGATTTTACATAATAAAGTGCAAACATAAGGTGACTTCAGCCTTAAAAATAACTGTTTATTATTTTTAAGTTTGATGCAAAAAATGTTTTATATTATGTCACATAAATTAAGAACTATGGAGTTATAGAAATCGCTTCATGGGTCGAATTAAGCAATCGCGATATTAGGAATTTGCAATTGTGAAAATATTTAACTAAAAGAAGTTGTGATCACTAATTTTTAAATATTAAATGAATATTGCTTGTAAAATTAAATAGTTTTTTTAGTTAAACATTTTATCATGAAAGCTATTTTAAAATTATTTCTTAAATTTACCATTGAATCTATCTTTAAAAAAAGAAAAAAAATTAATCTATTTTTAATAAGTTATAAAAAAAACCGTTATCTATTTGAATAAAGATTCGTTTCCCCTTGAACAGAAATCGCTATAAAACTAATTAAAGTTTTATTCCAAATTCCAAGTAAAAGGGGATTTAAAAGGATGAAAATTATTTTAACAAAAGAAAAAAAGAATCTGATTCATGCTTTATATGTTTTGTATATATGTATGTAATTTAAATATATATGTTAGTATATGTTTTGTATGTATGTATGTAATTTAAATATATATGTTTGTATAAGTTTTGTAAGTATGTATGTAATTTAAATTGTTTAGTATAACCTTTTTTTGTTTTATTTAAAATAGTAAAAATTTAATAATAAAAAAAATAAATAATCAAAATAGTAAATTTAATAAAAAAAACTATTAATAAATATTTTATTTGAAATACATATTTTTCAAAACAAAAGTTAAACACTTGAAGGATTTCTAGATTTGTAAGTCATCTGTTAAATTTTTATTTACTCTCTGATCATCAATATGGATTTCGGTCTTCTCGTTCTACAGCTGATGTGCTAACAGTAATAACCGATAGGTTTTACCGTGCATTAGATAGAGGTGGAGAGGTTAAGGCTATCGCACTTGACATTTCTAAAGCTTTTGATAAAGTTTGGCATGCTGGTCTTCTCCATAAGCTTTCTTCTTATGGTGTAGCTGGTAACGTCTTTAAGATTATTGAGTCCTTTCTTTCCAATCGTAGTATAAAAGTTGTCCTCGATGGACAACACTCTTCTTCACATCCTGTAACTTCAGGGGTTCCTCAAGGTTCAATCCTTGGCCCTATACTCTTTTTAATTTACATTAACGATTTTCCAGACATTCTCACATCTAAGGTGGCATTATTCGCTGACGACACTACCATTTACTCTTGTCGTGATAAGAAACCTACACTCTCTGATTGCTTGGAGGGGGTATCTGAGCTTGAAAAGGATCTCACTTCTGCTACAGCATGGGGCTCACAGTGGCTGGTGAACTTTAATTCAGATAAAACTCAATTTTATTCGGCCAATCGTTATCGTAATAATTTAGATCTTCCTATATTTATAAATGGTAATGTACTAGATGAGTCATCTACCATTCATCTTCTAGGATTAACTCTTACTTCTGATCTTTCTTTTAAACCGTATATCAAATCCATTGCAAAATTAGCATCTGCTAAGGATGCATCTCTTTATCGAGCTCGACACTTTCTTACTCCAGATTCTATTCTCTATCTCTATAAATCTCAAATCCGTCCCTGTATGGAATACTGTTGCCACATCTGGGGCGGATCTTCTAATGATGCTCTTTCTCTTTTAGACAAGGTGCAAAAACGAATTGTAAACATAGTTGGACCTGCTCTTGCAGCCAATCTCCAACCTTTGTCACATCGTCGTAATGTTGCTTCTCTTTCTCTTTTCTACAAATACTATAATGGGCACTGCTCTAAAGAGCTAGCGTCCCTTGTGCCATCTACTAAAATTCACTCTCGTGTTACTCGCCATTCAATTAAGTCTCATCCTTTTTCTGTGACTGTTCCTAAGTGCTTCAAAAACTCTTATTCTTCTAGTTTTTTTCCTCGAACATCAGTTCTTTGGAATTCGCTTCCTTCATCTTGCTTTCCTGATTCATATAATTTGCAATCTTCTAAGTCATCAGTCAATCGTTATCTTGCTCTACAGATTTAGTCTTTTCTCTTCCAGTAACTTCCAACTCTTATAGTGGTTGCTTGCAGCCTTGTTGGAAGTGAAGATGTTAAAAAAAAAAAAAAAAAAAAAAAAATTTCAAATAAAACTTGATATATATTATTAATAATATCAAAAAGTATTATCATTCCTGGATTATCTAATGTTGAGTTACTTAATTTTACAAAAATGTTTTTCAACAATAAATATTGTTTTAGCAATAATTGGTCTTGCAATAAAAATTGTCAATGCTGATGCAAGTTGCCTCATTTGATAATGCAATATGTAACTGAATAAAACACAATATCTAACTTCACCTCTTGATTGTTGCCTCAACTTCAAAAAAAAAAAAAAAAAAATCATATTGGTATTAACTGATTTGATGCAGTGTGATTTTTATTGAACAAATTATCAAGTTTTTTGAAATTTCAAGATATTTTTTGTTTCCTCTAGCTTTATTTTTTATCATGTTCAATTCGACTTCATACATATCTATGATTTTCTTTATTTTTCTATGCTAATGAGACTTTAATTAAACTGTTACAAGTTGTTTATAAACCCCTGAGGCACTATTTTATATGAAGTCAAAAATAAGATATATATATATATATATATATATATATATATTATATATATATATATATATATATATATATATATATATATATATATATATATATATATATATATATATATATATATATAATATTTAAAACTGACAAAAATGACAAAAATATATAACTGTTTTTTTAAAGAAAATTTTTTTTATCAACCATGTTTTCTAGAAGCTGATAATTTTTTTTAGATGGAAATTTTTCCAATGTTTGAAGTACTTGTATCTAAAGTTCCATGGCATGTTCGCTTGATTGGTAATGGTCAGGTTGCATTGTTTCGATTTAAAGAGACAATATCTAAGTTTCGAACCTTATATTCTGTGATATTGCACCAAGATTATATGATAAATGCCACCAAGTTAAGAGAGTTTGATTTCAAAGCTATGCTTGGTAAGTAAGTTTAAAAAATATATGTTTTTAAAATCATCTTTGAATATATGTTTGAGAAATGAAATAAATGTAAAAAATAAAATTGTGGTTGTTAAAACAATGGTTACACTATTTATAATAGTATAGCATAATATATGTTACAATTTTATCCAAATAATCCTGCTATAGTTATATAATTATGCAGTTTAATATAAAACTTTATTATTAATTAAATATTTAATAATTATTTTTTAAATTTTTAAGTTTAATATTTTTAAGCTAAATAAGTACAGCTTAACTCTTGAAGACATTTAGGGTTTAGTCATTATTTGTTTTTATAACAAAAATTGTTATTATTTTTTTTTTGCTCTGTTTTTTTTAAAGAAAGCGTCTGGAATAAATTTGGAAATTAAGGGGGGAGGGGGTAAGGCAGCCAGAATCAAAATTTGAATGGAAAAAACTGGAATTTTTCAAAAATTAGGAGGGTTTTTCCTTCTCTGCCTCTCTTGTTCCTATGCCAGTGTCTTTATAAATATTTTCTTTAAATATATATATATATATATATATATATATATATATATATATATATATATATATATATATATATATATATATATATATATATATATATATATATATATATATATATATATATATATATATATATATATATATATATATATATATATATATATATATATATATATATATATATATATATATATATATATATATATATATATATATATATATATATATATACAAGGAAGTACCACTACATTGACTGAGGGTTTGGTTGGGGTAAGCAGCTTATCAAACAATTAAAAAAAAACTTTAAAAATTTTTTTTTTTTTTTCTGTTCTTTAAAACATTTTCTAAAAAAACAACATGGTTTTGATATTTTATTGTAAAAATTAAACATGACGAAGCTAAAGTATATATGTATATATAAATTAGTAGAAAATTACTTATCAAATTTTTTTCATTTTACACTGTAATTTTAAAATTTAAAATTAGATGATTGTAAAATTATGAACATCATAAAATCAAATGAAGATATGCTAGCATTACAATCAGATATTGATCATGCCGTAAACTGGTCTCACAAATGGTTGATGTTCTTTAATGCGGAAAAATGCAAAACAATTTATGTGGGTTAAGGTAGCAGAAAATCTAATCAAGTCTATTCAATGACAAACACAAAAGGCACTCGTCGAAACCTGGAGGAAACTGAAACTAGGAAACTAGGTGTTCTGATATCAAATGACCTCAAAGTCCGTGCCCAAGTGGAGTCTGCAGTCTCAGTTATCAATTACAAATTGAGCCTACTTAAAAAAGCATTCCGAAGCAAAAGCATTTGTCTCTAGCGAACACTTTACATATGTGGGCCCACATTTGGAATTCGTTATTCAAGCATGGCCTCCTCACCTAAAAAAAGATATTAATATGCTTGAAAAAGTTGTGCTCAGTGCAGAGCAACAAATATTTCCTCTATCAAACATCTCCCATATGAGCAATGCTTAAATATATTCAGATTGACAACTGAAAAAGAGAAGAGCCAGAGGAGTTCACACACACATTTATATTTACATATATATGCGTGTATACATGCATATGTATGTATAGCAAGGCATAGAAAAAATTATAGAACTATATGTAACAAACTTGTCAGCAAGACAAGACGCCAGGCCTTGCTATGCTGACAAATTTGATACATATAGTTCCATTATTTGCTAGTGTTCTGATGCTGCAACCATGACTCGAAAATATTGACAAATTTTGAGTTGACGATATTGCTGGAAGTACATTCTGTGGTGCACAAGTTTGATTTGTAAAAAGTCTCAACATTTTTGACTTGGTTAAAGTCATGGTTACATCTTAGGCCAAATGACGTCGATTTGGAAAAAGGATAACGTTGTAGTACATATAAATAAAAATTGTGATACAATACTATATATATATATATATATATATATATATATATATATATATATATATATATATATATATATATATATATATATATATATATATATATATATATATATATATATATATATATATATATATATATATATATATATATATATATATATATATATATACATATATATATATATATATATATATATATATATATATATATATGTATATATATATATATTTATATATATATATATATATATATATATATATAAATGTATATATATATATATATGTATATATATATATATATATATATATATATATATATATATATATATTATATATATATATATATATATATATATATATATATATATATATATATATATATATATATATATATATATATATATATATATATATACATATTAGTACAAATATATTTTATTTAAAAAGTAATTTTATTACTATTATTTAGGTCAACTATCTGGCCTGCATATTGGCACTTCTTTTTTTGAAGCACCAGTAACAATTACTTTAAAAAATGTGAGGTTATACACTGCTGTTTTTAATCCTTCTAATTACAATATCTCTATTATGGTAGATTATGTTGAACTAGCCAAGTGTTTGACTGGTTACAAAGGTCGATCATGTGAGGAATGCGATGTAGGTAAGTTACTATACAAACTTTTTTTATCTTTTTATTTCTTATCATTAAAAGATGGGTTTTTAACTATTGTTTTTTAAGGTCACTTTACATCTTTTGTAATGTTTCATTTAAAGATTAGCGAATATTGAAAAGTTTTTCATTATTTGCTAAATGCTTCTATCAGACAATGCATTTCACAAGACAATTTTCGAACCATATTAGAAGCATTAACAATTTTTTTTCTGATCACATCAACGCTTTTTTATACTGTCGTTTCAAATGTCTAGTTGATTTTTGAATATCCCAACTTCTGCGGTAGTGGTGTAGTGGTAGAGCGCTCGCTTCATAAACGAGTGGTTCCGAGTTCGATCCCCACCATGTCCCTGGTAGTACTGCGCTCAACTCATTTTTCTCTGCACAGCGGCCTTGTTCGTCAAGGTTCTTGTTTGGAAGTTATAGAGTTGAGAGAGGGTTATAACCACAAATAAGTAGCCTCCTCGTCTGTAGTGGCCTTCTCAGCCTTGAGGAGGTGAATTAAATAAAAAAATAAAAAAAATAAAAAACTGATTAACAATCTCTTTATTAAATTTAGCTAAATAAATGACACATTCGCGTTTGAATTTCATGGCATTTAGAACATTTATAATACACAGTTTGTTAAAATGCTTGATCATACTTATCAAAAATAACATAACTTTGACAAAATTGAATGTTGTATATATATATATATATATATATATATATATATATATATATATATATATATATATATATATATATATATATAAATAAATAAATGTATATATATATATATGTATATATATATATATATATATATATATATATATATATATATATATATATATATATATATATATATATATATATATATAATATATATATATATATATATATATATTTATATATATATATATATATATATATATATATATATATATATATATATATATATATATATATATATATATATATAATATATATATATAAACTGTATATAAATGTAGTAAATATATATTTTGTTATATTGTTATAAAATGTATATATACATATATATATGTATTTATAAATAGGTTATACAAGAGTTATTCCATATGGTAGTCCTTTAATAAATTGTGTACCATGTTCATGTAATGGCAGAACAAAAGAGTGTGATCCACAAACTGGAGAGTGTAAAAATTGCATGCCAGGAACAATAGGAAAGTATTGTGAAAGCTGCATGGAGAATGTATTAGAACCAAAGTGCGACAAATGTAGACCTGGATACTGGGGATTATGCTCACAATTGAATGGATGCAGACGTAATTAACTTTTTGTTGCTTATTTTTAAACTTTTTATTGTTTATATGTTAAACTTTTTATTGCTTATATACCTACTTATAACTGTTATAAAGCAAAAAGAATTTTAACTGTTAGAAAAGTTTTAAAAATTTTCTTTTTTTTTGCATACATGATCCTTAAATATACAATCTGTAAATTCAACTCGCCTTCAGTAGTACTGTGTTAGTAGTAAGTTTACACTTACAGATGTTTGTATATAACGTTATATTCTTAGATTTTATACATTTGAATTTTAAACATTGCTTTTTAGATTGTATTTACAAGTCTTTTAATAATAAAGTTCTATTTAGTTGTAATATTTTAATAAATTTTTTTACTAATTTTTTAATATTGTTATTAATAATTTTATTATTATTAATAATTTACTAGCAAAAGGCAACCCGTAATACGGGTTTTGGTCGGTCTGTTACATAATTAATTTATAGTAGCTGTTTTCCACAATTTAATCTTGCAAAACCTTAACTAATACCTTTTTAGAAAATTGCCTTCAGCTTGAAAAAATTAATCCATCTGTAAAATTAACATAAAAATTATGAGGGGGTAAAATAATTTACCAACTACTACTTAACATTATTAAGTAATTTACAAATGGCACAGGTCATAACAGTGAAAGGCAGAACCATTTTCATTGACCTTCCTAAGTTTAACACAATACGTTTTTAGTTACTGACGCAAAATAATAACACTTGGTTATACTTTAAATTGACGAAAGTGTCAACTAAATCCTTAAAATAATTTTTATAACACGAACCATTAAGATTAAAATGAAGTTAATTTATATTATACAGGAGTTATCAATTTTTTGTTATCCCCTTGATTAATTGTTCTTTAGAAAAGAAAATTGGTAACTTAAAAATGTTAAATGCACACGTTTAAATAAATTTATAAAAAATAACAAAGTTTATTATACTACGCAACTGAGTACAAATACCTTTCAAACAAAAGAAAATTTAATTTACGATCAAACATAGGTATAACTAATTTTTTAATACATTAATGCATCATAGAACAAACTAAAATAAAAATTATAAGAGATAAGTAGACAAAAATTTGTAAACCAAGCTGACCCGACCCGGGTCTTGTTAAGTCTGTTCAACACAGACCATTTGTATATCATTTATTTGGCCTCTTTATTTTATTAAATTTTTAATAAACGGTAATTTGCCACCATTTACTAAAAATTCCTTTTGTAACTCGAAATTTAATTTTTCTAAATATTTTGGCTCTAATAAAGAGGTTCCTTCCCTCTTTTTGCTTTAATGGTGGCCTGGTGAATAAAATAAAATATTAAAATGTAAAACAATGATCTACTTATATAAAAATGTTTTCTTTCTTTCCTCAAAAGTGTTGCTAATACAGACTAAGCTAACTAATTAGTTAAACACATAAATAAAACTTAAGTAACTCGATATTAATGCGCAAAACTACAATATTCTCCGTATTTTTAAAGGTTTTTAGTTACGACCGCCCATTCAACCCATACGACCCCCCAATCAATTCTCTCTCTACAATTCTCAATACTAATTCTTATTTAAGTCTCATCTAAGAGAGAGGAAGTGTTTTAAAAACACCATGTTAGAAAAAGTAAAAAAGTCATGCAATAAATAACAGTAACTGGTTTTATTATGCTACCAATAAACAAAATTATTTTTACCTTAACTAAAAGTTAATTTCCAGCATTTCTTAATTTATTTCCAGCTTCTCTCTAACTGTTGACAAATGATTAATATTGTAAATTTCACATCATATTAAATTTACAAAATTAAAACCATGTTTTAACAGTAAGCAAAATAATCAAGTGATGACAAAGACAACTAAAAAAAAAAATGAACAATTATATTAAGATTACAAAAGTAAAAAAAAAAAAAAAAAAAAAAAAAAAATCATTTAAAACTGAAATTTTTATTATTTGTTACTATAAATAGTAAAATTCATACTTTGCTTTATTTTAAAGTGTCTAATGTAAAGTCAAATAATAGACATCAACAGCGCTTGACACTGAATTCTGCCAAGTAAGTTTTTGGTTCATCAAGCAAAATTTCTTATATTTCAACGACAATTAATTTTATCATGCCTAGATCTATTTCTTTCATATGACAACAATTTCTAATCACCTATAACCATTTACACTAATAACTTCTTCGAGCCTAATATTATAAATCTGTTATCATTAAATATATATTACCAGTGGTTATGCTACTGTTACAACTGAATAAATGAACGTTTTATATTTTTACAACTGAAAAATATAAAACAAAATTTATTTACATTATTTTAATTTAGCAAAGAATTTAGAACACAGTGCAAAGTTATTTGCATTGTGTTCTAAATTCTTTGCTAAATTAAGAAAGCCTTCAGGCACAATCTTAATGCACAAAAATAATAAATGCAGAATCTTGTATAAAAAATGAAGCAATGTCAGTCTAAAGTAATATATATGTATGTATATATATTCAAATTTTTTCTATTCTTAATTTTTTCTTTGAGATAATATTCATATAGATTCAGAGAAATATAAAATATTCCGATATATAGGCACATTTAAGTATATAAACTTACCTGTCAAAAATTACAGTCAGTTTTTCATGTTAAATACATAAAATATATATCTAATATAAAATTAAACAAAAAATTAAACTTACTCAAATCAGTAACAGTTCGACTGTCTATATATTTTTATTATTAACCCTTCTATTTAAAAAATAAGAACAAATGATTTGAAGTAACTAAAAAGCACTTTAGCTCTTTCCAATTGCACTAAAAAATAAAATAAATCTTGCTTGCTAAGTTGCCTAATTCTTAAGAATCTGATAACAAATAAGTAAAAAACCAAGAACAAACAAACATTTATTTACTAAAACTACTCTATTTAAACAAATTAAAGTATACAGAGAACAACATTGATACTCCTTGAAAGCTGAAAAACTTTGTATCTCAAATTTGCTTGTAGACCTTGCTTATGAAACCACTTGAATAAGAAAAGCATCAAAAAAGCCTAGAAGCTGGTATATGCTACATTGAATTTTAAATGTTGATTGGTGTAGATATTTTTAAAAAATTCAAAATGATTTGTTCTTCTATAGCAAATAAATACACCATAAATCTGAAGTTAAAAATGTAATGAATAAGTAAATACAAAGAAAAACATCATATGTGAATTAAAAATCAATGTACCTGATAGAGATAAGCTGCGGTGATACCTGAGTAGTATCACCGCATACACGTATTTATCAAAAAAATTTTTACTTTGATCATAATATAAATGCAAACATATATGCAAACTTTTAACAACTATAAAAGAACATTTATTAGCATCAATTATTTTTAATGTAACAAAGAATGCAGACTACAATGCACGACATTGTTAATAAAAATGAAGTTATGTCAGTCAGTATATATTTATCTAAAGTAGTGAAAAAGAATAAACCATTCAAAAACAAAATTAAAAATTTTTAATGAATATATATTTAGATACCTTAAAATGAAGCATAACACAACACTCTTTTGACAAATTCCAGAGCAAATTTTTAAAAATTTTCTATTCCTTATTATTTTATTCCTTATATCGATAAAATACATATTAAATGCCACATTCAACTAATGTAATTAATACCTTATTTAGATCTCTCTTGATTAACTAAAGAATTTAAATTTTAAATAAACTCTAACTAAATTTTAACAAACAAACAACCAAAATAAATCTTCATATTAATAGTAGGTTATTAAGTTGAGTAATAGATCAAACAATTTAATCTACTCTAATAATCTACTACCTTATTAATAAACTTTAATTTTTTTTCTACGACTCAGTGTAACTATAATATAGATATTTTTAAAGTAAAAAAGAATTTAATATTATAATATATATGATTTAAAAAACCTGAAATTTTAAATCTACCTCGAAGAAAACAGATATATAATAAAAAGTATTTTTATTTCTTTTTAAAAATTTTAAAATGCTTTATAACTTACTTGTTTCATATTATTACCAACGTCTAAATAGAAAAACAAAGATATATGAGTTATATATAGGATTTTAAAATATATATGATTTTAAAAAACTGAAACTTTAAATCTACCTCAAAGAAAACAGAGATATATTGAAAAGTATTTTTATTTCTTTTTAAAAATTTAAAAATGCTTTTTAACTTACTTGCTTCAATATTGTCATCATCTAAATAGAAAAACAAACAAACATTTAAGTCGACTTATTCTTAAATCTAGTTTAATTTCTTCAATAATAAAAAAAATTTAATCTTTGAGGATTAAATTCATTTACAAAAATCCGTTTAAACCATTTTAACATTGTTAAGTTAATTTTAACATTGTTAAGTTTAACATTGTTAATTTAAAGTTTTAAAAAACTGAAACTTTAATTCTACCTCAAAGAAAACAGATATATATTGAAAAGTATTTTTATTTCTTTTTAAAAATTTAAAAAGACTTCTAAACTTACTCCCTTCAATATAATTATATAATATATATAGTATATATGATAAATAAACCTCCACAATTTCCTTGGTTTAACAACTCGATTATGATTTATAACAACTCTGTAAACATAAATTTTCTAATAACCTAAATAAATTACAGATAGACAAACATAAACTAACACAATTAAATCCTAAACCAAAATTCATTCATGCAAGACAAATAATTTTATATTTATTGAAGAGCCAGAAACATATTTTTTTTCAAAGAGCTAAAGTATTAACAATATTAAAGACAAATTTTATTTATAACAAAATTTTCAATAAAAATTAAATTAAGATAAATTTATAACAAAATGTTGTCATGGCTTTTATCCCAATAACCAAAACTAAGTGAAAGCATGAAACTACCCATAAATATATTTTAACGCTAGACACAAATTAAGAATTAAAGTAATCTATAACACGAAGCTTTAAATTTAAAATTACAATTTAAAAAAGATTACAATAAATTAATTACTTTTAAATTAAAAAAAAAATTTAGATTACCTATAATTTTAAGTTACTAAACATTATCTACTTAATGTCAACTTAGATATTTTGAACTCGTACCATGAAAGGTTGAAGGGAAATCTGTAAGTAAGCACGCGGTAGAGAAAAGTCTAGAAACTACTTAAAAAGTGTATTTTACAGATACAGAACCATACCGTAACTATAAAACAATACGCGTAACTATGCGCACTATTAATATTCATAGGCTATTCATTATAGGCGATAAATAAATAATAATATTATTATTAATAATTTTATTATATTTAAATAAAAATTTTTTTTGAAAAAAAATTGTGGTTTTTAAATATTTATTTTATAAAAATTTCTATGTAATATAGTTCTCTAAACAATGCTTAAACACTTGCTTAAACAACGTGTTAAACTACAACATCAGTATAATAGTTTTTAGTTGCTCGATGGTCTATTAGATGCTGACACTGAGGTCTAGCTGACCTCAGTGTCAGCATCTAAATTATTTCATGCAACATTAAAAAAAATTGTTTTAAAAGTTTCATAATTCTTATAAAACATACACACTACAGGAAAAACAAATTATAATATGAATTTAGTAGAAAAAATGAATGTTTTATAAATATAAGTTACATACAAAACAATGATATCATCACAAGTTTATTAACATATTATTACATAAGTATTAATTTATTATTTATTAATACTATTTAAACAAAATTAATGAACTACATATATATATATATATATATATATATATATATATATATATATATATATATATATATATATATATATATATATATATATATATATATATTATATATATATATATATATATATATATATATATATATATATATATATATATATATATATATATATATATATATATATATATATATATATATATATATATAGTTCATTTTATTCAACATTAAAAACGGCTCTTAGACTTTAAAAATGACAAATTCAAGCACAATTTATGTAAAAACCATTAAATTGTGGAAAATAATTATATTTTATTTTTAAAACTACAAAATTACAACTTAATAGACAATAAATTTTTTTATTTTTCAAATAAAAATCAAAACATTCTGAAACTTTTTTTTGTTTATTTTACTATTTACATACATCAACTGACAAATAGGTGGGGAGTGCTGCTACATTGACTTACCAATAGGTAGAACATGCAAGATGTGCTGCTACACGTACTAACGAATAGGTAGAGCATGTGGGGAGTGGTGCTACATCGATTGAGGGTTTGGTTAGGGCAGCCGATATATCAATTTAAAAATTTTTGTTTTTAATTTTTTCCCGTTTTCTAAATGAAATAAAATAAATTTTACATGTCATGTTAAAAATTAAAGACAATCATGCAAGAGTGTGTGTACTACTCCATGACATCACACAATAAAATTAAGTAAGGATTATGTTAAATAATTTTTTTTTTTTTTAAATAAAAACATTTTGAATGTATTTATTTTTATTTTTTTACTGTAAAACATGCGCAAAGTGCAATATACTATCTTATAGCCTGCTGCTTATACACCAGCAATTTTCAACTTTTTTTAGAAAAATCAATTGCTTCAAGCAGGAGTACCTTTATAAGTCTGTAAATCTATAATGTAGAAAATTTGAAAAATGCAGGTCTTCTTGATTCTAACTTATTTTAATTTAATTTTTTTATATATAATTTTTTATGAAACATAAACTAGAAAAAGTTATAATTAATGAATTTTTAAATCAAATGTTAGTGTAAAACATTTTCTCATATTTTCATATATAATGAAATGTAATTAATTTATTTTTAAATTTTTATAAATTTAATACCAAATATTGTTCATACCTACTACTGCTAATAGGGAGTGCTGCTACATCGACTATCTTATAGCCTACTGCTACAAGAAAGTGCTGCTATATTTGAGGGTTTGGTTTGGCCAGGCAGTCTATCAAATAATTAAAAAAAAAAGTTTTTTAACTTTTTCCGGTCATTTATTCTGGAAGTAACTACTTTGCCCATTGATCAATCAGTTGTAAAAAGTTATTTGAATTTAAAATGGTTTGTTCTATATCTCTATATATCATAGATCCTATTTCTATACCTTATATTGTTGTCAAAGGAGACTTTTATGGTAAAAAAGTCTCTTTCAACAACATTTAAGCAACTTCAACAATTAAGCTACATTTTAATGTCATCTAAAAGTTAAAACAATTAAAATAATGCAAAAGTACATTAAGTTTTATCATTTTTTTTAAAAACTGCAATAATAATTTTTAAAAACTGCAATAATAATGAAAGTTTTTTTTAATTAATAGTTTTTTTATTTTTTTAAAACATATTTACAAAACATGCGCAAAGTGTTGCTACTTTGACTATCTTATAACCTGCTGCTACAAGAAAGTGCTGCTACATTGACTGAGGGTTTGGTTTGGGCAGGCAGTCTATCATTAAAGGGAAAAAAAAAAATTAAGTTTTTCAACTTTTTCTGGTCTGGTTTATTAATGCGCTCAAGTCAGAAAGTTTTTCTTATAAACTACAGTTTATGGGAAAAACTTTCTGACTACCATAAGACATATATATATATATATATATATATATATATATATATATATATATATATATATATATATATATATATATATATATATATATATATATATATATATATATATATATATATATATATATATATATATATATATATATATATATATATATATATTTAAATAGTATTAATAAATAATAAATTAATACTTATGTAATAATATGTTAATAAACTTGTGCTGTTTTTCCTGTAGTGTGTATGTTTTATAAGAATAATGAAACTTTTTAAACAATTTTTAATTTTTACTTTACAAATCATTAAAACATATTTAACTATGAAATATTAGTTAACGAATAAAAAAAAAACAAATTATTAATGACAATCACCTAAATTAATAAATAATTTCTATTTTAAAACAATCTAAAAAGGAGTAACTTCTGACTAATTGTAACAAAATTAATTTTTCACTACTGATGATTCTTGTTATACATGAAACTCTGAGTAGCAATATTATTTTATAAATACTAACAATTAGGTAATTTCTGGTACTGCAGGTGACATTAATATATATATGTATATATATATATATATATATATATATATATATATATATATATATATATATATATATATATATATATATATATATATATATATATATATATATGTATATATATATATATATATATATATATATATATATATATATATATATATATATATATATATATATATATATATATATATATATATATATATATATATATATATATATGTATGGATGTAAGTTAAGTTAGTCTACAAATAGAATGTTCAACTTTCTTAAAGAACAGAGTAATAATAAATTAGTAAAATCACTTATCTAAATTTCTACTAGAGTCTGTTTCACCTTCAGCAGGTACATCAGGAAGCAAACAGGTTCATCAGGTTCTTGTTGAAAATGCTTTAGGTGAAACTGACTTTAGTAGAAATTTAAATTAGTGTTTTTACTAACTTAATATAAATTTATTAATATATACTTATAGCTTGTGATTGCTACCTTCCTGGCACTCAAGGTGGAAATAACAATGAGTGTGACAGTCTGACTGGTCAATGTGTTTGCGATTCTCAAAAAAATGTTGGTGGAAGACAATGTAATCTTTGTAAAGAAAATTCTTTCAATATTTCATTGACTGTTGAGTTAAGATGTCAAGGTTTGTCATTTGGTCAAATTTATTAAAAATTAAAATGTATTATTAGAGTTATTTCAAAGGGCTTTATAATAAGCTGTTTTTTGTATTTAATTAAATTTTTTTTCTTTATATGTATGGGCTTTTCAGAGTTGTCTGTTTAATGAATGGATGTTGGATGAACAATATTTGATATTTGATTTTGATGTGACATTAAAATTTGTGGATTTTTTGTAGTTAAAAAGTAGATAAAATAAAAAGCACAACATGAAAATATGATAAAGTAATCAGTATAATTTTTTTTTTTTTTACAACTTATTTTGTTAAATATTTAAAATAAAACGGTATTAATTTAATTAAATAATTGAATTATTTAATTAAAGTTCAATTTTATTAATGGAAAAATTATCACACATTTTCTCTTAACTAATCTTTCTCTATAACTAATTCTTCGAGTGGTTTTAGTTTAATACAGTATAAACAGGGATTTGTTGAAATAGCTCTCTGCAGACCATTTACTACCAAAATACTTTTTTAATTTTTTCTGCTTCAATCTTTTAATTGTATAGGTGCATTCTTCCACAAAGATTAAAAAATTATTACCTTTAACCACTTGCAAAACATTGACGGATTCACTTTCATTACATTTTCAATCACTGAGGCTTGTAGGCTTAAAATTATTAATTGCAAACACATCCAATGGAGACTATTCAATATCCACAACAAATTGTTGAACAAGTTTTTTTGCTATTTCAAAAAATTATAGTTAGATGGCTCTTATTTTGCAGCTCTCCGATCAGTTTTACAGCTACATCTAATATTGCCAGATCCAATCATTTAGATCCAATATATATATATATGCAAAATTCTGATTACATATTTTGATTGCAAGGTTGAAATAAGTTTTTGGTTAACTTGTCATTTAATTTATGTTTATCGTGATTTTAAATCCTTGCCTTGCCTTCCTTATTTTAGTAATAAAGTTTTATAAAAAGTAGTTAAATATATTTTTATTTATGTAGAATAATACTAGTATTTTTAACTCAAATAATTGTTATTTTATTAAACAGAATGTCCAGTGTGTTATGGTCTAATAGAAAATTCTGTTTTGCAATTACGCAGTAACATTCTTCAAGTTCAAATTCAAATTTTAAATATGGTATCAAAGTTATCTAGTATGACTGTTTCTCCTTTTTATCAGTCCATTAGTTCAATGAGATCTGATATTATTAATCTTGCTCGCCGAGCAGATCAAGGGTTGTCAGTTGCTTCAGGATTAGATCTTTTGTGGAAAAGTCTTGATAATAGTGTAAACTTGTTTTTAAATACGCTGTCTAATTCAACATATGCAAAAATGGAAAGTCTATTAATGGGTGCAAACAATATTTTTGCCATACATAACTCTACCGTGTTTCAATACTCTGCTATCTTTAATTATTTGATAACCAGCTTCAATTTAATCAATAACACAGTACGCGCACGAATGCAACAGCAAGGTGTGGCTTTGGAACAGCTGCGAAATTTAGGAAATGAGATGGTAGGATATGTAGCTATAGCTACAAGAAGAACAAATGAAGTTCTGACAAAAAAGTATGACTTAAAACAGAAAATACAAGTATCAATAAATGCTGCTGTCCAAGCTGCCAGCACTGCAAAATTAACACGAGAAACTGCATTTAATATGACATTTACTTTTGAGCCTGTGTTGTTACGGGGTAGAGAAGTTCAAAGTATTGCAAGAACTTGTCTTGCAGCTATTCAAGATTGGTTTCGAAATGCAAGCAGAGTGTTACTGTATTCTCAAACTGTGTTAAATGCCACTACTTCACCATTAGTTGATAATTCAAAGGTGAGTTATTTACAATCATAAAAAACAGATAATTCTAAGGTGAGTTATTTACAATCATAAAAAACAGCTTTAATTATTCGATATAAGTATTAATAAAATGTTTTAATTGTGATTAGAACATCACAAGTTTGGGTTTTCTTACACAAGCACTGCGAGATCGTTTTAATGGATTTACAACTTCAGTATTTTCACTGACAACAAATGTCAATTCTGTTGCTTTGGAAATCACTAAACTCAAAACTTCATTACACCAAACTCAAATTTCTGCCATTGAGCGACGATCTTCTCTTTTGTATACCAATATTGTATTATTGTATAACAAAACTATTTTGGCTGTTAATATTGCCAAGAAGACATATGACGATGCTTGGTCCATGTTAAATACAGTTAAAAACTTTATGGTTGTTGCTTCTCAAGCAAAGCGAGCTGCTAATGAAGCACTCACACAAGTATAATTTTTTTTTTAAGTATTTAAAAATAACGCTCTATCACTAAAACAAGTTCAACAAAATAGGAAATCAAAATAAAAAATTGTTCAAATAATTAAGATTAGTTAAAAATTATCAAGATAAACAAAATCTGTAAAATTTTATTAAAATGTGATAATCTAGCTAAACTAAGTGGCTTTATCATCAATTAATTTTCCTATATATATTTGTAATGTTTGTTTTGTAAAATAAATATTATAAATATAAATAGGAAAATTAGTTAATGATAAAATAATAATTCATTTCTTAAATATCATAAAACCCACTACCATTCTTAAATTGAGTTAGTAACACTTTTTTTGTCGATTTACTTACACTGACATTTTTACTTACACAGACATCATTTTATAGAATTTTTATGCAGTTGCACAATCTTACTTTATTAAGTTTTCTCAATTATTTTGGTTATTTTGCTTATTCAACATATTTTACTTTTAAATTTTTACTTTTCAATTACATTTTCTGGTGCCATAACATCATAACAGGGCATATTTGGGTTCAAAAAAATAGAAGGTGAAACTATCTTGTTAAAAAATGTTATAAACCCTCTTTCTTGTACTGCTAAGTAGTTTCTATTATACTCTATTATTTTATTTATTATTGTTAATCTCTATTATATCAAACTTATTCTAATAATTTTTAAACAAAAGAGATCATGTATCAGTACAAGACATTCATTAGAAGATCAAATTTTTTTTTTTTTTTTTTTTTTTTTTAACATCTTCACTTCCAACAAGGCTGCAAGCAACCACTATAAGAGTTGGAAGTTACTGGAAGAGAAAAGACTAAATCTGTAGAGCAAGATAATGATTGACTGATGACTTAAAAGATTGCAAGTTATATGAATCAGGAAAGCAAGATGAAGGAAGCGAATTCCAAAGAACTGATGTTCGAGGAAAAAAACTAGAAGAATAAGAGTTTTTGAAGCACTTAGGAACAGTCACAGAAAAAGAATGAGACTTAATTAAATGGCGAGTAACACGAGAGTGAATTTTAGTAGATGGCACAAGGGACGCTAGCTCTTTAGAGCAGTGCCCATTATAGTATTTGTAGAAAAGAGAAAGAGAAGCAACATTACGACGATGTGACAAAGGTTGGAGATTTGCTGCCAGAGCAGGTCCAACTATGTTTACAATTCGTTTTTGCACCTTGTCTAAAAGAGAAAGAGCATCATTAGAAGATCCGCCCCAGATGTGGCAACAGTATTCCATACAGGGACGGATTTGAGATTTATAGAGATAGAGAATAGAATCTGGAGTAAGAAAGTGTCGAGCTCGATAAAGAGATGCATCCTTAGCAGATGCTAATTTTGCAATGGATTTGATATACGGTTTAAAAGAAAGATCAGAAGTAAGAGTTAATCCTAGAAGATGAATGGTAGATGACTCATCTAGTACATTACCATTTATAAATATAGGAAGATCTAAATTATTACGATAACGATTGGCCGAATAAAATTGAGTTTTATCTGAATTAAAGTTCACCAGCCACTGTGAGCCCCATGCTGTAGCAGAAGTGAGATCCTTTTCAAGCTCAGATACCCCCTCCAAGCAATCAGAGAGTGTAGGTTTCTTATCACGACAAGAGTAAATGGTAGTGTCGTCAGCGAATAATGCCACCTTAGATGTGAGAATGTCTGGAAAATCGTTAATGTAAATTAAAAAGAGTATAGGGCCAAGGATTGAACCTTGAGGAACCCCTGAAGTTACAGGATGTGAAGAAGAGTGTTGTCCATCGAGGACAACTTTTATACTACGATTGGAAAGAAAGGACTCAATAATCTTAAAGACGTTACCAGCTACACCATAAGAAGAAAGCTTATGGAGAAGACCAGCATGCCAAACTTTATCAAAAGCTTTAGAAATGTCAAGTGCGATAGCCTTAACCTCTCCACCTCTATCTAATGCACGGTAAAACCTATCGGTTATTACTGTTAGCACATCAGCTGTAGAACGAGAAGACCGAAATCCATATTGATGATCAGAAAGTAAGTTATTTGATTCAAGATGAGAGATTAAGTGTTTGTTGATTAAAGATTCAAAAACCTTGCTTATGACAGGAAGAAGACTAATGGGACGGTAGTTAGATGAATCAGATCGCTCTCCGGAATTTTTGAAAATAGGGATAACAGATGCTGCTTTCCAGCATGATGGAAAACAAGACTCTGATAAGCACTTGTTAAATAGTTTAGAAAGTATGGATGAAAGCTCCGGAGAACACCTCTGCAAAACTACAACAGGAATGTTGTCAGGACCACAAGCTGTTGAAGAGTCTAAGCAGGAAATTACTTTAGATACAGAAGCTGAAGTGATGCGAATGTCAAGCAAGGGATCAACCTGTTTGACGGCTATGTCAGGTAAAACGCAACTAGTGGAATCAAGAGATAATATTGATGAAAAGTTCTTAGCAAACAATTCAGCTTTGTCTTTAGGTGAGGTGACAAAGTCTGAACCATACAAGAGAGAAGGAATAACAGATTTGCCCTTATTATTGATACTGTTAAAGATTCTCCAGAAGTCTCGAGAGCCTATTTTTTGTGATGAGATACGAGATTTAATGACCTGGGAATACCGAGCTTTGGCGTCAGACAAAACCTTTTTACAATGGTTTCTGGCGATAGTGAACAGATGTCTGTTTTCTGGAGAATTGTTTTGCTGATAGATATGGAAGTAACGGTTTCGATTAGAAATTGCTGCAGCGCAATGTGAGGAAAACCAAGGAGAAGAGTGAGGCTTGACCTGGAATCGTCGAGAGGGAATAAAAGATTCCATGCCAGCCTGAATCCACGAAGTTATGTAAGAAGCACATTTGTCAGCAGGAAGACGAAAGATTTCTACCCAAGGGCCATCATGAAGAAAATCACGGAAAGAGTCCCAGTCAGCTTTAAGGTAGTTGTATGTGGTACGATGATAGGGGGATTCTGATGAAGTAGAAGAATTTGATAATAGTTTTAGAGAGATCAAACCGTGATCAGAAGTACCTAAGGGTGAATGTGGAGAGATTGAGCACTGACTAGGATCCAAAACAAGACATAAGTCGAGTAGAGAAGGTAAATGATTAGGGTTGTCTGGAAAACGAGTTGGAAAGTTGACTATTTGAGTTAGAGATTGAGAAAGGCAAAAGTTGAGGGCCTTAACGCCAGCAGAGTCACTGACACTAGAGCCAAGCCAATCGGTGTGATGGGCAAAAGTCACCAACAACGACGATATTGGCCGATGGATAAAGAGAGAGGGCTTGGTCAATTTGATCAGAAATAACATCAAGAATAGTGCAATCTTGGGATGAAGGAGAGCGATATAGAACAAAGAGAAAGGCGATAGAGTGAAGTTGTGCTAAACGAAAGCACATAAATCAATAGTCTGTAGATTCAAACCTAGTTTCACGACAAATGGGTGAGTTCTTACGAATGTAAATGCCCAGGCCAAGCATGTGATTATTGGAGTCTTTACGAATTAAAGGAAGATAACCATCAACACTAAGATCACAAGATGGGACAGCCGAACTCAAATTAGTCTCACAAAGAGCAAGTAGGTCTGGTAAACTTTGCAAGAGATAAGACTCAACAGAAGAAAAGTTACTTCGAAGACCACGAATATTAGTAAATGATAGGTTTAGAGAACTTGGTGATGACGATGGTTTTTTGTGTTTTTTAGTTTTAGGTACTTTAGTCATTTTAAATTTATAAAGAACTTGACTCAAGTGTAGATAGTACTCAGTACACTATTTAACAACTAAGCAATAGCCTCATTACTATTAATAAACCCTAAGCCGTAACAAAGGGCTCCAAATGTGGCCTCTGCAATGCACATTAAAAGTACAAACAGTGACACCATCCATGCGCAACATGGCACTGTTAGTACTCTGATATTTTTCGGCTGTTGATGGAATCAGCCTCTCTGAGAGCTACCACAGAGTTCGGGAAACCTGACTACCAGCCGGCCTCAGAACCATAAAACTGAGTTTTAGAGCTGTACCCTCATTAGGAGATAATAGAATGAGTTGCCCAGTCATAAAAATAGAGACACAAGCAATACCCACGCATTGAGTCAAGAAGATCCAGCGTTCAACATCCTAAACTGGAAACAATGTATTAAAAATACATCTGCGCCAGCCTAATAGATGAGGAAGGGGTGCGAGGCTGGTCAACAGATAGAATCTGTTTACCCCTTAATTGTTATAAAAAGTATCTATAGAATAGTAATCTATAGAATTTCTATAAACTTTTAAAACATATGGCCTATAGAAATTCTATAGAATTTCTATAGAATCTCTGTTAATTTCTATAGAAATTTCTATAGATTTTTTTTCTTACTTTTTTTTTCTATAAAAAAAAAGTTTTATAACGTTTTCTATAGAAATTAATAGAGATTCTATAGAAATTCTACAGAAATTCTATAGAATTTTTATAGAATTTCTATAGGCCATATATTTAAAAGTTTATAAAACTTCTATAGAATTTTAAATATATGGCCTATTAGAATTTTCCTGGGAGGTCATAACATTGTCATAAACTTATTCTAAATTTCCTAAAAATACAATTTTAAGTGATGATTTTAGACCTTACATCTGAGATCAGATTGTCAGTGATGATTTTAGACCTTAGATCTGAGATCAGATAGTCAGTGATGATTTTAGATCTCAGATTTTAGATTTTGATTTAGTTCAAAAAATATTTTAGTTAATTTACATAGTTAATTACAAATGTAAAAATGTTGTGAATACATTGAATGTTTGGTTTATTTTAATATGCACGAAACAGAGTCATTTCCACAATTTGCATGAAATAATGTTGGTTTCACAATATGCTTGAAACAGATTTGGTTCCACAAATTTAGCAGAATTATGTATCATTTTATGCATCTAGACATTTTAAAAAATATTACAAATGATTTAGTGTCATGAGCCATTTCAACATGAATCAAAATTTTACACTGATCAATATAATTATTTTACACTGATCATAACTGATACTGCCTAATTATAACTACAATAATTTAAAATTTAAAGTTTTTAAATATTTTTAAAACTTTCTTTTAATTATCACTACTTTGAGCTTTACTATATATTTACAAATAATGAGTTAAACGATCCTGTGCAAATATTTGATATTTTATAATGATAATATAAGTAATCATTGTGCAATTGTGTAAACATTGTTCAGTTAAAGTTGATAGATTGAATTTAATAAAAATATATTGATTAAATTAGCTTTGAAATTATAAATTAAATCCAGCAATAAATTAATTTGTTGTAATAAAAGCGTGATACTAAACTTAGCAATAATTTTTAAAATATTCCGGAATAAATTATATTATAACATTTACCATAGTAAACTTAGGATTAACACTAATATAATAATTTAATGCAATTACTGTTGCAAATAATTGTTTATAAATTTTGTACAAAAATATAATTTTTTATTTTGAAAAAAAAGAATTTATTTTGATGTTAAAGAGTTTGTACTTCAATTCTAAATTTTTGCGCAAGCAAAATTTTCACAATTTTTTTTTAAAAACGAATGTTCAATATTTTGATTTGAAGTTTGTTCAAATTTGAAATTAACAAAGATTTTATTTTATTTTTTTGTTCTAGTTTTAGTCTGGAAAATAGTGGGAAGGGAAATAAATTTCCGATTTAATTTATTAGTATATATTTTTTTCAAAGGTTGATAATGTTAAAATAACTGTTGAGTCAGCACTTCAAACAGCAGTCTCTATTAGCAACCAGCTAAGAGGACCAATAGCAACGATAGCTACTGCATTACAGGTTAGCAATGCTGCAAGTTTATCAACTGGTCAGGAAACTCAGGTAAGGATAAAAACTTTGTATTTTGTAATCAAAAATGTTATACTTTTAATTTCAAATTTTGTATATATTATATACTAAATAAATATACTATATAATATACTAAATTTTTTGTATATACTTAAATACAAAAGAACGTGAAAGGGACTACTCAAATTTTTTAAATGGGAAAAATATTACACATATTATATTTATGTATTATTGTGCTTTTCATATTGTTGTGAGGATTGAAATATAAATTATTAGTAGCAACCTCTAGATGTACCTCTGTAATGTCATAGTTTTGAATATAGTTTTTTTAAAGCCATTTTTTTGCGTGTTTTTTATTTCTGGATCCACTACAAATACGCACACACACGCATTTACAAGTTTTATTGCTTATAAGGTATCAAAAAACCTCGGAATTAGAGTCGGCATTCAGCAATGCCGACCTAACTGCCGAACTGAAAGTGCTTGAACCTCATTTCTATGTTTTATGGTCAGACCTTTGTCTCAAATAATTTTTGCCGACCTGATGCCGACTTCAAAAAGATTGAGGTTGGCAAATTATTGCCGACCTCATGGTTCCTAATTCCGAGGGTTTTATTAATTATGCATATACTATCTAAATAGTTTTTTTATAATTTTATATAGGTTATAACGTCATTATATCAGAAAGCTGTAGTCATTAACGAACGAACGAAATCTGCTGTTTCTTTTGTAAAGAGCGAGCAAATTTTTGTATACATCCAGCAAAATGTCGCTCCACTTCTAGATAGATGCAACAGCTACAAAAGCAAGTCGATATCAGCAAGGAAAGAGGCGCAAAATGCTTTGACTCAGAGTCAACAAGCATTTTCTGTAGCTAAAACCACAGCTGATCGAATAAAGCTATTAGCCTCGAACATAGACAACCTTCAAACAGTTCAAGTTTCTCAGTTAGATAGTCTAATTGAAAATATATATCAAGGTAGAGCTAATTACAACAAGTTGAGCTTGTCTTCTGCATTAGAAAATCTTAAAAAAGCTATCGCTGACCAAGACTTGAAAACTAAAGCATACAAAATTAAAAAGAGCACGCTTCAAGTTTCAATAGATCGGTTTGAAAGTTTGTATCAATCTTTAAAACAGGTCTCGTGTTAAAATCTTAATTCTTTAATATAAGGAAGACGAAAAAACATCAATTAAACAGAACAGCTGAGTCCAAAAAAGTGAATCTTACGAAAGGTGTTAGAATGTAAAAATAGAAAACGTACTAATACTTAGTTGAAGCTGAAATAAGAAGTTTCTTGTTTAAAGATTATTCGATTGATTATTCGACTGATTATTCGACAAAGGTGCGCCTTTAATTGCATCGGTTTCGAAATAAGAAAACAGATGTTGCTCGTCGCATTGCGAATTTATTAGCATAAAATCATATTTTTTAGGTATTTAGAATCTTTTTATTCAACAAAGACATGTAGTTAAATAACAAGTTTATTAAATTGTTTATTTCATTATTCTCGTGGGATATTTTTTTCTCCACAAAATATAAGGGTAAAAATAAACAAGTGAATATTATGCTAGATTTTAAATCTGAAAAATATAAAATAAGGTACTAAATTTTAGATAAATTAAAAAATTATTATTTTTCAGATAAATCTGAAAAACAAAATGGTCGTTTCTAAAAGATTACTAAGTATCCTTAACCGTTGATAAGACCTCCCTTAACCATTGGAAAATATCAATTCAAAATATTTTGAAATTTTTGAATTAGATTTAATTATTTCTCAAAGACGATTTTCAGTTGTGTAAAACTTTACAGGAAACCATAATCGTTTCTACCCGTTTTGAGACACTACTGCTTAATCAAAACCATAATAAGAAATTTTTAACTTCATTATCGCCCTGTACATTCCATATTACGTGTACAAAATAGAGAAAACGAATGGAAAAGAGGGTCTGAAAGTTTACACAATTGTTGACAAAGGAGAGGGAGGTACGTCAAAAAAGGTTGACATCAACATCATTACTTTTTTAATGATTATATTTAAATGTAAAAATTGTTTTTTTTTTTTTTTTATTGAGGGTGGGAGGGTAGCAGAAGGTACTCAAATGCTGATGTAATTATATAGAAGAGGTCTCTGAAAGTTTGACAAAGGGAGAAGGAGGTAAAAATCACCAAAATTTGACATAATTAATGGACAGCACTCCCAAAAGATTTATATTTCTGATTATGGTTAACATTTATAATTAGATCTCTTAAAACCTTTAAGTCAAAATGTCTTAGGAACCAACAAGTTAAATTATTGGTATGTAATCCTTACCCAGCAAGCAAACGTGCGTTGATAAAACGTTAAAACAATGTTGCACGTTGCGCTGGGCCAACATTAACCGCCAACGTTGTTTTTATATCATTTTGGTTACAAATGCGACGTCGCCAACAACCAAAAAACAACGTTGGCCCAACGTTATATTTTAAGTCGGCATTGCGTAATATTTTACGTTAATTCAACATTGCATTTTACGTTGGCAACCAAAAAACAACGTTGGCCCAAAAAGTTGTATTTTAAGTTGATTCAACTTTATATTATAAGTTTGCGCAACATATTTAATTTTATTGGAATTAAATTTATTTGTGTTATATTTTAGTAAATATATGTACACATTGTATGTTATATATTTATTAGGGTTTTTCACTTTTGCAAAAAATTAGTTATTTTATATTATCGAAATTCTATAAATGGAACCAAAACATTTTATCACTTTCAAATCTATAATTTGTATCGAAAAATTTATATGCGATATATTTCATTTTTAAATTGCACATTTAGTAGGAAAAAGCAAAACTTAAGGGGGAAGCCCCCCTTAAACAGAAGTATTAAATATTTTAAACAAAATCAAGAATATAAAACATTAATATAATATGAATAAACAAAATCCTTGAAAAAAAATACAAAATGGTTTTGGTTGCCATAGTAACTACAAAAAACACATAAAAATGGGCAAAAAATGCATTCACACCGGCCGTAAAAACTAAATAACCGTGCAAGATCTCTTAAAAGGCTTTTACCAAATGCTTCACAAAAGGTCAAAAGGTGTTTTAATAGCGGCATTTTTCTGTAACTAAAAATCTGAGCGATGGGTGCACATTTAAAGATGGTGAAAATATTTTTTATTAAAAACATTAAAAATAAAAAAATTTAAACCTCAATTTAAAAAACTGTTTCTATTAAACCACAGTTTATAATCATAGAAACAACTCCAGAAAATTTCATCAAAATTGGTAAAACGGTCCTTGAGATAAAACGGCGGGCGTATGAAAAAAAAACTATTTTGAGAAAACGCGAAAAGAAAAAAAAAATCGCACATAAAACTTTGAAACTTTAAGTAAAACACATATTATAGTTAAAATATCTAATAAAAAGTATTAGAAACCTCCTGCTTTATACAACTTCCCTTCTTTTTCTTTTTCATTATCATTTTTATTATGTTTTTTGCCACAAATAATTTTTTGTTGCAACTTGTTTTTATCAATATTTGCAACCGATCAATTGTTGCATCTGTTAATATACCTCTACCACCAAGGTTTTTAGTTTTTTTTTTCAACTTTCTTAATCTTGTACCTATACGTTTTCATCTCATGAAACACCAGTATCAACAATATCAGTATTCGAATCGTGTCTGATTTCTGCAGTAGCATCACACATAGTCTCTATTGCTACTTTTTTCATAACTTTAGAGATTTTTTAGCAAGCTTGTCTTAGTTATTTGTAGTCATTGGCGGAGGAATATTCATAAAAAAAGTGAAGTTTTCAAGTCCTGCGTGACATTGACCCAAAGACCGCATTGTCTAAATAAATCGCTTATTTATGTCGTATCCCTGCTTACCACTTTTTTTTATAGTACAAATATTTTTAAAAATAAACAATTTGAACATTTTAAAACTAAAAAGGAGCAAGTCCATGTCAATCTTTTGAGTTGTCAGACAACACAAGAGAGTCTTCATTGAAGCACATTGGACAAATGAGTTCTTTAAAAATAACAAATTACACTTCTATATCTATAATTTTATATCCAGACAGTAGAGTACAAAATTCAACTACATCAATTTGTCGTATTTTTGAATGTGGTGCTGGAATATTTACAATATTATCAGAAGGGTCAGTCAGACAGTGAATCACAGTGTCATTATTAATTAAAATATTTACAATTGGAGTAGATTCTTTATTTACACTATCAACAACAACTTCTTCTTCATAAAATAATGATTTTTTAACTGGAAAAGATCTATACTTTTTCATAACAATAATAGGGGACTGCCTAAAAAGCCGAATTCTAAAACGCCGAAAAGCCGAAATGCCGAAAAAAATGGCGTATTAGTAAACCTGCGATAACCGTAAAAAAAGACAACGAAAAGTTAAGCATCCCCCGGATTTTTTATTGCGCGAAAGTTTAAAGGGACAGAAGAAAAAGCCAAACTTGGCTTTTGCTTCTGTCCTTTTAAACTTTTGCGAATAATAACGAAAAAAGAGACGAAATAAAAATTAATGTTTATGAAATTATTTTTAAATTTGTTTGCTAATTTTATATTTAGTTGTAATCAATGATATTTATATATCATTGGTAGTAGAATAGAGAGGATTTGCGTTAAAATTGTTAACTAATTAAATTTAGAAAATTTTAATTGGAATTATTGATAACGACCTCGGTGAACCATCAAGGAAGCGAATTTTCAGATAAATAATTACAAGAAAGAGGCCCACATAGAATATTATCGTTACACGATAATATTCTATGTGGGCCTCAAACTCATGTGAAAATGAATCTCTGCGCACTGAGCAATAGAGTGCAGTGAAAATATTTTTTTAAATTCATTTTACCTGGGTGTGCAAAAGTTGTCTATTCATGTCAGAAATACTCTGTAAAAATTGCAATGCTCTATGAAATTATCTTGAGGTGCCCCAAGGTCATTGAAATTTCCCAAAATCCCCAAAATGTGACCTACCGACTACGGAGTACGGAGCACGGACTACCGAGATAGACAAAGAATTTTTTTTAAATTTGTGTGTGTCTGGGTGATATAAAAGTATTATTATTTAGTGCTATATAATTTGCTGCTATAATGCTGCCATCTGGCGAGTGAATGTGCATGTATTATTATGTAAAATACAAACGGTGTCAAACAAAAAACACAGAATCTAGCAAATAATTATTAAAATTATCATTTATTTTTTCAATTCCAGTAATACCCCATTAGCAAATAATAGCTAAAATAAGAGATTACCATGACAAATATCGCTCACTTATGAAACCATTTAAACAGAGGTCCAAGGACAAGGACAAGGAGTCACAGTACCTGAACAAAGTTGAAAACTTCAAAACTGACTCAAATCAATTTTTTGATATTGCTTCATGTAAATGTAAAGACTTTTTGACATGTGCTTGTAAAAAGAATCGTAAAGTTCCACCAAATGAAATAATATTTCTTGCAGATCAAAGAACAGAAAGGAAAATGGCTATTGGCATTATACCAGATACTTGCCTATCGAGCTCAAGAAAATTGTTGATCCTGTAATCCAAAGAAATGCATACTTTACTCACCCAGAAAACTTATTAATATCAATGGCAACCGATGAAAGGCCCCACATTCGTTAATTAGCACTAAGACGTGTATTGGCTGCAAGATGGATATCCGACAAGACCAATGCTAAACCTACCGTTAGATTGTTCAAGATACCACCGCTAAACTTTGAAGCAACATATTATACAGACATAATCAACTGGTCATCAAACAAAAGTGCTGAACCTCCAATGCTCAGATCAATTGAATCGACTCAGCTTAAAAACAGCATTCTGACCTCAGAAATGCTACAATTTAAAAGCTTTCCATGCCACACTTAGTCTGTAGAAAGAAGCGTGAAGCTAGTCACTGTAGCCAGTATTGCAGTCTGTGAACCTCACCGTGATGATTTTATTCGTGCAAGAATAGAGTCGCGATCAGCTATGAAAGTCTTTAACATGACGTTCTTGAAATGATTAACTGACAGAAAATAAACTTAAAATAATTGTTATTCTTAATTTTTGTGGCACCTCAAAGTTCTTACATAAATATATTTTCATTAGGTTCTGATATGATGTTAAAACCATCATACAGGTTTATTATAATAGAAATCGAAAAACAAGATCAGTTTATTTTTAGCCATTGATTTTTTTGTGAAAATATGAATTTAATAATAATTGTAATTTCTAACTTTTTGTGGATTTTGGGGGATTTCAAAGTCCTTGTGGCACCTCAAAATAATTTACCAGAGCATTGAAATTTTTACAGAGTATTTCTGATATGAATAGACAACTTTTGCATACCCAGGCAAAATAAATTTCAAAAAAAAAAATTTTTTTTTAATGTTATCGCTGCATCCTACTGAGCAACTTTGACGCTAGATATCTTTTAAGGTCCTCACCAATAACTAGCATCTTTTACAAATATTTTTAAAGCTATTGCGGACGATTTTAAACA